GCACTTTAAATATTTGAATTATTGAATATCATTGTTCTAGTGTCGATCTTATTTTGCAGATCATTAGATGTATAAAATTAGGTTGTAGCCAAAAAATTATGTCGCGTCTTGGACAAAGATTTACTGGGTTAATTCGAAAAATCAACAAACCAATGTCTATCGAAGATATCCGAAAAGCCTTGGCACTCTCGGTAGAAGATATTACAGATCCAACTGAGAAAGCAAGAGCACGTAGGGAACTTGAAGAGTACGATAGAACGATCGCCTTGGCAATGCAAGAAGACGAAGAAGAACAGGCATTATATGGTTGGCCGCGTCCTGTTCCCTTACAAAAAAATTTCGATTTCGATAATAAGCAACAAAAATCTATCCCCGCCTCTTCCTCGGTACAAAATAATGGTAGTGGTTTAGAAGGTTCCTCCAGCTTTTTAGCCGACAGGAAGGAGATGGAGCGGGAAAGGCTTGAACGTGCACAGAAGCGACGCGCTAATAATCCTTTGGCTTATACGGCTGACAAAAAAACTAAAATCGAGAATGGGCGAATCGTTCAAGTTTCAGATAATGGTATTGTGTCTGTCCGATGCTTGAAGAAGGCAGGATTCTTAGAATTCACTAAAACTTTTTGTTTAATAAGCTTTAAAGTATGCAAATGGTGCCTTGAAGTTGACTTATATACCTAATTTCCGAGGAGACTATGTTAAATTTGAAGATCTTATTGAAAAGGTGCGTGTTTTTTACGAAAACTTGTTTCCGTGTTCTTTTAAATATACTCGAAAATCTAATTTATAATTGCATTGGTTTTCATAATACAAAAGTCTAAAGTTAAACGAGCTTTTCTATCGTGCTTTGTTGTGAGTCTTGATTGGGTGCAACAGAATTTTCCAAGTCAAGCAAGGATAGTATTGGCGAAACAACGCGATTATAGCGCACAAAAGGTAAATAAGCAATCATGTTATTGACTTTTAAAAAAACAATTAGAATAACATTAATACTTTCTAAAAAAAATTTAGCCTGGCGTATATACAACCATATTCGACAACATCGTACTTGTGAATCCACCAATGCTTAATTCAGAGTTTGGATGTTTTCACGCGAAAATCATGTTACTTTACTACGACAACTGGATGCGAGTTGTGATAACATCTGCGAATTTAATCCCAATGGATTGGGAACAGATGGAAAACGTTGTTTTCGTTCAAGATTTTCCACTCCTTGAAACGCCTGCGTCCGATATTTCTCAGCAGCCCGAATTCGCGCAAGACCTATCAGCGTTTGTATTGGCGATGCGTGTGAAAGATTCGCAGGATAAAGTGTTGATTCAGGTTACGGATAAGCTTTGCCATTATGATTTTAGCAAAGCAAAGGTTAGTTTTTTTTATTAATGTTACGAGTCTCGTTATCGTTCGCCACTTTTAATTTTTTGTTGGACAGGCAAAAATTGTTGGTTCTGTGTCTGGATTACATCAAGGATCCGGGGAAATGA